GGTAGGGTTTAGGGTGTAGCCTAAATCTTGACCCACGCCACCTTTATAACACTCCAATGCAAAATCTTGGTTAACCAACATTCTCTGTTGCTTGAAGCGAGGTAACAACAACAACTCCTGCTTAGGCCCTTTAGGCCTACATGGGGGCCTTTATGCTCAGACCCTGGTTTTGTCCAAAATAACTGGGAGTTTCCGAAGATAGGGGACCCTAACATCGTATCCTAAATAATTAGTAGGATCCTTACAATATAAGGACCCCCCCCCCCCCCCCAAAGAAAAATGAAGGTACCTCCTATTTTCGGAAACTCTCATAAATCCTCCCCCGAAGCATGGCCCGGCCTGACAATGCCCAAGTACACGCGCGTGCCCTGGGATGCAGCGATCTGCCCGAGCGCCCGGTAGCCGCAAGCATTGCCTGTCTCGCTGTCCTCGGGAGAAAAGCTGAGAAGCCAACTTTGAAACGCTACAGACTCCGAGAAAACTGAACACGAAAGCACTTCAGCAACGGTCCTTCAAAAGAGACTCAAAGCAAATCCTGCGGAACACCAGCGCTGTTTCCAACCTTTCTATGGTGCCCTGCAAGCCCCAAAAACGCAAGCCGACAGGAAGTGCAAAGTGCTGAAGTCGATGCTCTGCTTGGATGACCAAAGGACTTCGTGAGCAGGCTAAGACTACTCCCTGGTTCTTAGTAGGGAATGGGGGAAGGGATTATGGGGATTATATAGAGGCGATCCATAGGGATCCATGCCCCCATTACCTACTAAGCACCAGGGAGACTATGTTCGGGCAGAGGCGTCGCGGCTTTGCAAACAGGGCTTCTGCGAGTTTAAGATATTTGGAACCCCGAAGGATTTCCGAAACTTCCATGTAATGCCTCTTTCTTTGGGCCTTGACAATCGGAATGGGGGTTGGGGTACAGCATACCAGATTTACAATAGGGACTGAACCTCAATGGCAGGGCAACTATTACTGAGCATGGGCTTGGGGGGGTTACTATAAGATCTCAACATAAAAACATATATACACTTCTATAGCAAGGAACCCTATGGAAAACCGTTACAAACAATCTTGGCCATAATACCCATCGACCCCCCCGAGTTCCAACACGACCACGGGGATAGATGCTGAAACCAGTAGGGATATAGGGTTTAGGGTTCAACGATGGATTCAGGTTTACGGCTTAGCTGGAGTCCTGGTGCCTAGCCCCAACCCCATAATCAACTCTCCTATTGAACACATACGCATACAGACATCGACCATTCGTCTTTGGACCCTCTGCATACTGACTAGACCAGCCCACACCGTATCGCCAACCCCTAAATCCGAAAAACACTGGGCCCGATACCCTCTTAACCGAAGTAAGGTATTGCATATTACACCACTCCGTTCTTTCTCTTAAAAGCCTACAGTATGTCCTTAAAGCCCTAGTCTTGCAACCCTTCACGTAAGCAACCGGGCTTCCAGTGAGTAGGCTGCTTCTGCTGGTGGAAAAGCTGCATATGCTTGCCGCACCTGTGGAGAGGCTCAAACCTTCTTGAGTACTCCCTTCCCTCGGGCTCCATGTACCTCTATAACCCTAACGTTCCAAGTACCCCATAATCATATATTCTCCAAAATCTTAACCTGCATAACCCCTATCCTAAACCCAAGTACCTGATTATTGGGTCCTTTGGACCCTTGGGGTAACATAGACGGAGGCCCTAGAAGGGTCCGAAAGATGGAGGTTTGGGCTAACATGTGGGAGTTTCCGCAAATTCGGGGTACCTTCTTTTGGGGTCCTTATAATAAGGATCCTACTATTTAGGTTGGTATATTAGGGTTCCCGATGCTCGGAAACTCCCATGTATACGATTATCCCAGAGTTGATCTTCCAAAAACAATGAAAAGCACGAGGACCGAAAGGAGCCCTTATAGGAGTCCTTATAGGAAACCCTAAACCCTAAACCCAAAAACCCCTAAACCCTATAGGAACCCTTGCTTCAGGGAGCCCTATAGGAACACTTACAAGGCGATATCTAAGAAGCCCTGATAGGAACCCCTGTTTACGTGAACCCCTACAAGAACCCTTACTTAAAGGAGCCCCTAAGAGGAACCCTTACTTTAAAGGAAAGGAGCCCCTAAGAGGAGTCCTTATCGGAACCCTTTTTTCAAGCAGCCCCTAAGAGGAACCCCTACAAGGCGATCCCTAAACCCTAAACCCTAAAGCCTAGCCCCTAAGAGGAACCCTTACAAGGCAATCGCTAAACCCTAAACCCTAGCTCCTAAGAAGAACTCCTATAAGGCGATCCCTAAACCCTAAACCCTAGCCCCTAAGGGGGACCCTTCTAAGGCCTAAGAGGAACCTTTATTTAAAGGAGCCCTTATAGGAGTCCTTATCGGAACCCTTGCTTGAAAGAGCCCCCTAGGGAATAAGCCATGAAACCCTATTTACATGAACCCCTATAAGAACCCCTACTTAAAGGAGCCCCTAAGAGGAGTCCTTATCGGAACCCTTGTTTCAAGCAGCCAAGGCGATCCCTAGCCAAGCGCCTTCCGGGGAAACTCCGGGCCATACCCGGCAGCGAACTTCTCGTAGAGGAACTGCTCGAAGGCGGATTCCTGATCTGGTTTGGGGGTTTAGGGGTTTAGGGTGTAGGGGTTAGGGTGTTTATAGGGGTTAGGGTGTAGGGAGGTAAGGCTTTAGGGTTGAGGGGTTCAGGGTGCAGGGGTTTGGAGGTTTAGGCGTGCAGAGGTGCAGAGTTTACGTAGGCGTTTATAGATTCAGGGTGTAGGATTGTAGGGATTTAGGGTGTAGGGGTTTAGGGGGAGTTTAGGGCTTAGGGGTTTAAGGGATTAGGGCTTAGGGCTTTTAGGGTTTATGGTTGAGAGTCTGAGTCACTACAGCCAGGATATTCTGCAAGGCTTGACGAGCCGAACACATCAGGAAACATAGTAAGCAGGGTTCTACGTCAGGCATCTAGAGCGATAATTAACATACAGCCTCAAACAACCCCGCCGCAAGCTACCCATGAAACTTCAGCCGCCCCCTGCAGACGGAAACACAGTCAAGACATAAAAGCTAAAGTAACACTGATACTGTGAATCAGCGACCGGAATCGCAAACCTTCTTAGCCTGAGCTGGAATGTGCCAGTCCTGAAATTCGACACACCAATATGTTAAACAAACTGATAACTCCCGAAACACTACGTCCCAAACCTCGAAGCGCTGATTATCGAACCGCACCTGCTGCAGCCGATGGCCTACCTCCGATTTCTCCAGCCCAACTAATGCGTGAATGTCCGAAGGATTAGTGTGGCTTGGGCTTAGCAAGGATACTCCAGCTATACAGGACGAAGCAAAACACGAGACATACTAGCCCAACTTTCCTTCACCCCAAACAGGGTACCGTTTGAAGGACTTCCTGGACAAGTTATACGGAAACTATGAAAAGCCGCTCTTTTGGGTCCAACTTTACGCCTAACAAGCCCGGCAAACCCACGTAATTCGAACTCGAAGAGTCGTTGGGGATGGGCGCGAAATGAGGTACGCCAGACAGCTCCGCTCCCATAGTCTGAAGAAGGAGAGGGACTGTCGGCCTGGGTTGCTTAGCGTTTCAGGTTGAGGTCTTAGGGTGTAGAGGCTTTGGGTTTATAGGGCCTTCGAGTTTAGGGTCTTGGGTTGAGGTTTGGGGGTGTGGGGGCCTTGGGGTTAGAGCCTTCGAGTTTATGGTCTTGGGTTGAGGTCTTAGGATGTAGGGCCTTCGGGTTTAGGGTCTTAGGGTCGTGGGGTTTCGGGTCTTGAATCTCTTAGCCTTAAGCATGGCATCGTCTAGGAGTGTTCGGGGCTTATAAAGTTTAGGTTCTGAGGGTTTACTTGAAGGTTCATGAGTAGCTTTTCGTAGGACCACAAGAGACCTTGATCGACACTATCAGCTTGTGCAATAGCTATAGTCTCCATTGTAGTTCCAACCAAAATCTCTAATATAGGATCCTAACCATAAAACTGGTTAACCAGACAAAGGAACTACAATGGAGACTATAGGTAGTACTGCACAGTTCTTTTTCTATGCGACCAAGCTCTGGACCGAGGCTATCAGACAATCGAGCAGTCAAAAGTGCCCCTAAACCCTGAACCCCTAGACCCTATATAAACCCTAAACCATCCTAGACCCTAAACCCGCAGACACTATATGAACTCTAAACCATCCTAGACCCCTAAACCCTAAGCCATCCTAGACCCCTAGATAGCCCCAAGACCCCAAACCATCCTAGACCCCTAGATAACCCCTAGACACTATATAAACCCTAAACCATCCAAAACCCCTAAACCCTATAGACCCTAAGCCATCCTAGACCCCTAGATAACCCCTAGACACTATATAAACCCTAAACCATCCAAAACCCCTAAACCCTATAGACCCTAAGCCATCCTAGACCCCTAGATAACCCCTAGACACTATATAAACCCTAAACCATCCAAAACCCCTAAACCCTATAGACCCTAAGCCATCCTAGACCCCTAGATAACCCCTAGACACTATATAAACCCTAAACCATCCAAAACCCCTAAACCCTATAGACCCTAAGCCATCCTAGACCCCTAGATAACCCCTAGACACTATATAAACCCTAAGCCATCCTAGACCCCTAAACCCTATAGACCCTAAGCCATCCTAGACCCCTAGATAACCTCTAGACACTATATAAACCCTAAGCCATCCTAGACCCCTAAACCCTACAGACCCTAAGCCATCCTAGACCTTTAGATAACCCCTAGACACTATATAAACCCTAAGCCATCCTAGACCCCTAAATGTCAATCTGTGAAGTGTACCGCTGTCTGATTCTGCCATCTCCTCCGAAGTTTCCCAAAGCAAAGCTGAACAGTTTTATCCCGGAGGCACAAGAGTGGTTCGAAGCGTGGCAAAAGCGGCCGCCGTCTCTGCAGGCAGGACCCCTGCTTCTTCGTTTTAGATTGGTAGCGGAGCCTTATGCTCCAGTAGTCCTCTCGCTACTGCGCAATGTCGGATGTCCGAACTTCCTTCTACGGTTCTACTTGGGTTTCTTCGGGCGATGTTCCTCCCGGACCTAGTGACGATTCGCCGCAGCGACATAGTGATGGCGTAGCTGCTGATCGCGGCGACGCAGGAGATGGCCCTGTCTCTCATGATGTTCATGGGGCAGGCGAAAGAGACGACGACTGGACCAGGGACGATCCTTGGTCCAAGGGACGGAGTGGAGACCAGGCTGTCGCTTGGTGGGGACACTCCGAGTGGGGAAGCTACGCCCACTGGGATTCTCGAGGTGAACCTTGGGACACTCGGTGGCAGAACCACGAGCGTGTCTGGCATGATCGGCGCCAGAGCTACGGGGGGACCTGGGGGTCCACCTCGACCGGGACCGGCTCTGTGCATGAGAGCCCCTCGCGAGACTACGATCATCAAGAACAAGGCGCCGAGGCCTGGAGGACGCGTGGTGGTGCTGCTATGCCTGGCGGATGGCAGCCTCAGAAACTTGGCTGCGACCTGACCTCTGCTCCCAAGACCGGAGAGAGTGCCAGGGGGCCGTCCGAGAAGATGGTGGTCCCTTCCTTCGCCGGGACCCTGGAAGCGGGGACCGAGGACATCGGGGCCAGTGCGAGGTCCTACTTGAGGCAGATTGCGGCTTGGCGCCGCATGACGAGGATCGACTCTTCGAGGCAGGCCTTGACTCTTTATCAACACTTGTCGGGCAAGGCTTGGATTGATGCGGAGCGTCTCGATGTTGACAAGCTCGCCGGCGAAGATGGAATGGAGTACTACCTGAGTTGGGTTACGGACAGATACTTGGATGTTCAGGTGACGCAGATCGGCAGATCCCTCGGCGACTTCTTCCGCCGACTCCGCCGACAACAAGGCCAGTCTGTCCGCGACTACATGAGCGACTACGATCGGGCGTTGGCGAGGTTGCAAGAATGCGGGTGCCACTTACCTGATATTGCTGCTGCTTGGGTGTTTGTGGACAGGATGGCCCTGTCCGAGGAGCAAGAGCTGAACCTCCTGGCGTCCGTCCAGAACGAGTACTCTTTGAAGCGTCTGCAGCAGGCGGCAATAGTGCAGGACAGGAGCTTGCGCAAGCCTTGGGAGCCGAACAACAGCTCTCAACGCCAGGATCGTGGAAGCAAATGGTGGAGCTCTCGCCGCCCTCAGCAGGCGAATATGGCTGATGATGGCCATCCTGACGAGGACGACCCCGGCGACCTCTTCCCGACGGACGACCAGTCCGAGTGTGTACCAGAGCATGTGGCTGAGGAACTCTTTGAGGCCTTTATGACTCATGAATCCGCAAAACAGAAGTACAAGGAGCTTAGCAAACTTCGAGGAGCGGACCCGGAGGGCATGCGCCAACTCGCTGCTGATCGCCTCCAGCAGGCAAAGAACAAGTCGTTCTGCTCAGGGTGCCGAAGGAGGGGGCATTGGCACAAAGACCCTGAATGTCCCTTGAATCAGGGAGGCGGGAACGGTGCTATCTCTAAGGGTCCGAAGTCGTCACCTCCGAATGCCAACAAGGACGACGTGCCGAAGACCAGCTATGCTTGCCACTATGTCTATGTGACCTGGGATCTGGACCAGAAGGTTGCCACCGCCAATCTGACCGCGATCACCGACACGGCCTGCTCGAGGAGCGTGGCGGGGGTGCCATGGATCGAGAAGTACATGGTCGAAGCCCGGAAGATCGGTTTTGTGCCTGAGACGGTGATGTGCAAGGATGCTTTTAAGTTTGGGGCAAGCCGCATCTTTGATTCCTCCTACGCTGTCGTGTTGAGCTTTGGAGTGGGAGGCCACTCTATCTTGCTTCGTGTGGCAGTGGTGAACGGGGACGTCCCTCTCTTGATTTCGAGGCCAGCCTTGGGGCAGCTTGGAATGATCATGGATGTAGCGGCCAACAAAGCTTCTTTTCGCAACCTCGGTGTCCAGGATCTCAGTCTTTTGTCGACGGACACGGGCCATCCGGCCCTCCCCGTACAGCCGTTGACTGTTAGCGCCGCGGCCATCAAGAGCTGCGATTGGCAGGACCGCGAGCTGCTGATTGTTCCGAAGTCCCAGCAATACACGGCGTTCATGACAGTGCATAGCTGTGAGCCTTCAGATGATGATGAGAGCGCATGTCGTGTCGAAGCCCCTCCTCTTCTCCCTGGTCTGTCGGTCAACAGTGCAGAAAGTCCTCAGGTAACTACAAGCCCCAAGGTGTTCTATCCGAAGAAGATCAGCATTGAAGCCTCCAACCTTCTTACTTCAGATAAGATGAATCCAACAAGTTTCATGGCGTGGTGGTCCCAAACATCGATCTCCAACGACTTCTGGATAGAGGATGAGTTTCAGCTGCACCGTATTCATGTTGTCCCTAGGCGAACCTTCTTTGATCCCCGCGGTTGGGCCACTTCAAAGGGCGATCAGAAGTCTGCTCTTCTCGAGGCTCTGGGTTCGGTGAGGTCGTCTCAGGGGTATGCTTGCAGTACTCAGCGTGCGTTTCCTGAAGTACATGATCAGTGGAGAGAGCTCGGAAGCAAATCGTCATTCCCGCTTTTGTGGATCGGCAGAACTTCTTTCAGTAGAGCCTGCAGGCCCCTCCCGTGTGCGGCTTCGCTCCAACCTCATGGCCTCCAGTGCCCAGCTTCTGACGGCTCCCGTGGTGACCAAGAAGAAAGGGCTATGGGAACTACGCCGCGAGGAGTTGATCGCGGAGGCGAACGCACGCGGGCTGATGACTCACCCGAAGTGGACGGTGCCCGAACTGAGGAGCATCATTCAGGAGGACATGAAGAAGAGCTCGGCGGCATCATCCGGGACCCCGTTCGAGGCGACCCCCCTGACCAAGATGACTGTGAAGGACTTGGAGGATGCCCTGGAGGCCTCGGGTATGGCGGTGCCGGAGAAGGCCAACAAGGGAGTTCTCATGAGGCTCCTCCGCGACCAAGGAGGTCTGGGCCCTCAGACCGTCCTCTCCTTCGGAAGGTTTCGTGGTCAGATGTACCAGGAGACCCCGATCTCGTATCGACGATGGGCAGTGCGAGAAGTCGCGGGGAACAACGGGGCCCAAGAGGATCTGAGGATGTATGCGACATGGGCGGCCAAGGCCCTCGAGGTGACGGACGGCTACATGGCTTCGTCGACCCCGACTCCCTTTCCGGACTCCGAGGAGAGCGCGAAGGTACCCTACCACCCGGAATCCTTCGGAGGGAGTTCCTGGGACCTGGTGCCGACGGGCGAGACGAACGACTACAAGATCAAGTCCAAGGCGAAGGCCAGGCCCACCAAGGTCCCAGCGGAGGCGGAGACAACCAGAGTGCCCGCGCAGAGGCGGGGACCATCTTCAGTGGCACCATCTTCGACGAGCCGCATGGAGCAGGAAGTGGACCCGGAAGTCATGGACGAGGTCCAGTACCTCCAGGCGAGACTGGCAGTCCTCCAAGACCGCCACGGGATCCCGCCGTCCGGGAACCTGCCCTGAACTGCGAGTTCGAGACCGCCGCCTACACCGATGCCGAGGTCTTCTATGACCGTGATGATTTCGCTCCCAATGCGAACCTTGGCAAGCACGGTGGCGGGAACTATGAGGCTGGCAGGGACCAGCACTGTGGGAGCAGCAAAGTTTTGACCCAGGCCGACGGAGATCGGCCTGAAGGCCATTTTGGCGAATGCAACCCTAATTCGTTTTCTGTTCAGCCCAATGACCGCGATCCTCAGCTTTGGCTTGATCGCACGAGGAATGAAGCTTCGACCTCTGAATGTCATCGCAATCCCGTGGGACTACCCGGTCACGAGCCCTTAGCTCCAGAATGTCCTCGCAATCCTGATGGACTACCTGGTCGTGATCTCTTAGCTCCAGAATGTCATCGCAATCCTGATGGACTACCTGGTCGTGATCCCTTAGCTCTAGAATGTCATCGCAATCCTGAAGGACTACCTGGCCGTGATCTTCAAGCTTCTAGCAGCGGTGGTGCTACCGGATGGTCTGGCAGTGGACTCCCTAGTCTCCGAGATGGCTGTCTTTACGTTGGTGATCCTTGTTCTCACGTGGCATTCGACCAAGTCGTCGAGGAGGTCTACCTACAAGATGAGTCCACAGGCAGTCGGGTTCCAGTTGACAGCTCAGGACGACAGCTCGAGGAAGCTGCTGCTGCCGCTCTCAAAGAAAAGCGATTCTCTCTGGAAGTCCTACGTGATCTACTACCTCTGATACCTCCTAAGACCTCGAAGAAGCATCGCAGCATCAACGGCGAAGTGGGACTAGAGTCTCAAAGTTTTCTCGGTGGGATGTGGAACCACGGAGGCCTACACGGGGTGTCTCGCGACTCAGTACGATTCCCGAAGTTCGTCTCCTACGTCAACGAGGTCATGAAGAGGGAGACAAAGGGGAGAGACCTCGGATGGTCGTCGTTCATCGTCACAAAGGACATTGCTACTACAATCCACCGCGACGCCCACAACCTCTTTGGAACCTCCGTTTTCACGGTGACCCTGGGAGAATTCTCCGAAGGCGGTGTCTGGGTCGAGAGGGACTGCAGCGACGACCCTCTACATCTCCCAGTTGAATGGCGCCCTGGTCCTGATGGTGATCCCCTTCCGGGCTACCTCGTGTCTACCAAGAATCACCCGTATGTCCTCGATCCGAAAAGGAGACACTCCACAGAGCCGTGGACTGGTGAACGATGGTGCGTGTCGTGCTTCACCGGGAGAGCCTTCCCCGACACCGATGCTCGATTGCGCGATGGCCTAAGAGAACTCCGTTTTCCTTTCCGAGGTCTCTCACATGTTCTCAAGCAGAAGGACGAGATCTACGCGAGGACCACCAGGCCCATCAAGAGCACGAGGAAGTCCTTGTGGAAGAATGCACAGCGGCTGGTGACGCTGACTGCCTGGTGTGCCATGGTGACGTCCACTTTCGTCTCTCCTACATTCCCTCCGGGACATGATTCGGAAGGAGTCACCCTTCTCGAGATCGGGGGAACGAACAAAACTTTCGAGGCCCACGACTACGGCTATTTGACCGCAGAGCCCCTGGTAGCTGAAGACTTTCTTGGAGTTCAAGGATTATCCACAGCGACCGCCGTGATCGACGAGCTCCAGCCCTCTCGGCTCTGGATTCACCTCGCTGAGCTGAGGGGTGGCCTTGAACGGGTCTTGAGCGTCGTTCAGAGACAACTCGCCACTGGGCGGGGCGCGGTGCTTGAAGGAGGACTTGGAGATGAATGCTGGTCTTCCGACTCCATTGGGGTCTTCCTCGACTTGTACGACTACCGATGGGAACGCGGACCCCCGGACACATGGCTTCTTCACCTCAATCCGAGCGAGTTTGAGGATGTGGGGGACCACGACGAACCCTGCGACCAGTTACGACGTTATCTACTACAACGTGAAGGCCAGACCGATGAAGATCAACAAGCCTACGTTGTCGATTCTAGGCCAGGTCGTGGTGAGGAACCGGTACTGGACCGAGGCGGCGGAGGAGCTCAAGCAATTTCTTTCTCGAAAGGGACTCCCATCAAGAAGGAAGTCCAGTCTGCCCTCAAGCGCCTCCACCAGAATTTGGGACACCCCTCCAACGAGGACTTGGCGCGCCATCTGAGAGTTGCTGGCGCTGGAAGCGAGGTCGTGGAAGCCACAAAACGTCTACAGTGCCAAGTGTGTGCGAGAAGCAAGAGGGCGAGTTCGGCTAGGCCGGCCTCTCTCCCCAACCTCCTCGACTTCAACCAGATTGTCGCCGTCGACGCCTTCTCTACCTACGACTTTGCCAGGCGCCGGTGTGAGTTCATGATGGTGACCGATCTCGGTACCGGGTTTTCATTGGTTGGGCCCCTCACAGGGCACTCGACCCAGTCTATGGAGCGTGACTTCTGCACTATTTGGTCAAACACTTTCGGGGCACCAGGTACGCTTGCCTTGGATCTGGAATCGGGTTTGCAAGCCGGTCTCGGCAGGTTTTCCGAGTGGCACGGGACGAAGCTTCGTCCCGCGGCGGGACAGGCACATTTTCAGCAAGGAGCAGTGGAGCGTGCAATTCAGTCCTGGAAGGCGATTTGGAGAAAACTCGTCGATGAGCACTCCGTGGGGAGAAACGACATCCAGATGGCAGTTACTGCCATCAACACGGCAGTGAACACCCTCAAGCGAGACTCCGGATATAGTCCCGCTCAGGCCGTTTGGGGGCGAGATCCTGCGTTACCTGAAGACTTGTGGGGATCGGACCACGGGGAGCAGATCGACCATGTGATCACTCGCGATCGCAAGCGCGCCCGCGAAATGGCTCTGCGCCTCGGAGCCAAGGAAGCCTTCTTCAAGATCCAGAACGACAACAAGTTGCGACGAGCTCTTCTGCAACGGACGAGAGTGGCAGGCCCGGAGGTCCAAATTGGAGACTGGGTATACATGTATCGGAAGCCCAAGAACTGCAAGGACTGGAGGTGGATTGGTCCAGCTACTGTGATCGGACGCGAAGGTCCGAACCTCTGGGCATCCTTCGCGGGACGTTGTCATCTCGTAGCTCAAGAACATCTACGTTTGGCTACAGGAGAAGAAATAGGCGGGGCATTTACGCTCCGCTCTACCAAGGAGGATTTGGAGCGCCTCCTGGACAGGGACTTCGCAGAAGAGGAGATCTACGTTGGGAACGACGACGGCGATGCCGATGAAGGACATCGCATTCCTGGTGCTATCAGCGGCAGAGCTGAGACTGCGGAGGAGGAGGACACCGACATGCCCTTCCTAGACCTACACGGGACTGATCCTCCTGGCGACGAGGCGGGCCAAGGACCCACCAGAAGGAGGAAGCGCAAGAAAGGGCCCCCGGATGTGAGCCTCGAGGATATGCCGATGGTCCCCGACTCCCCCTTGGTCTCCGATGACGAAGACGCAGGCGGCTTGCAGAGGGGTCACGGTTCTGGCGTTCTTCACGAAGCACACATGTTGAAGCTTCCCAAGACTCCCCGGGGCAGAGAGAAAGCTCTCGAGAAGGAGCTGCCATGGGCTTTTATCCCCACTTCTCAACATGAGGCCTTTCGCGCTGCTGAGCGGAAACAATGGGAGGAGCACAGGGATCACTCAGCCCTAGAACCGCTTTCTGTAGAGGCTAGCCGGGAAGTGAATGCCACCAAGGGTGACAGGATCCTTGGAAGCAGGTTCGCCTACCGCGACAAACACTGGAGCAAGAGAAAACAGAACAGCGAACTTCCTTGGAAGCCGAAGGCCAGACTCGTGATTGCCGGCCATCGGGATCCAGATTTGTCACTGGGCTTGTCTACCCACGCTCCTACAATTTCGAGGCAAGGAATCTTCCTGTTGCTGCAGCTCTTGGCCAGCAACCTAGCCGGGGGATGGACAGGACACGCCGGCGATGTGAGCTCGGCCTTCTTATGTGGACAGGAACTACAGCGGGAGCTCTACTTGAGGCAACCGAAGGTTGGCTTAGGGGATCTTCACCCTGAACAACTTCTTCGGATAAAGAGGCCGATCTTCGGCCTTGTCGATTCCCCTTCCTCCTGGTGGGACACTCTACGTTCCACGCTCCTCGAGACCGAGATTTGCGACGAGGATGGAAAGGTCTGGCACATCCGCCAATGCACCCTGGATCACTGTATCTTCATGGTGCAGGAGTACCGAGGGAAGGACGAGCACGGGGAGGCGAACTACGAACGGCCTACCGCCTACTTAGGGGTACACGTGGACGATATTTTGCTCGTCGGGATGGACACCCTGTGCTCCTTGGTCAAAAAGAAGCTCAGCTCCGTGTTTCCCATTCCGGACTGGGAGTCCAACAGCTTCGAGTACGTCGGCTCCTTTATCGATATCGGCGCCAACGAGATCAAGGTCTCTCAGTCCAGCTACGTGAAGACGAGACTCTTTGAGGTCGAGATCGACAAAGGGCAAAAGGACTGGGAACCTGCAAGCGAGACCCAGAAGCACGACAACATGTCCCTGGTGGGCGCTTTGAGCTGGCTGGCCAGTCAGAGCAGGCCAGACCTTCAAGTCGGCGTCTCCTTGAGCCAGCAATGCCAAAAGAACCCCTGCGTAGGGGACATCCGCTTCACGAATGCCAATGCGAAGCGAGCCTACGAGCACCTCGACGAGGGGGTTTTGATCAGGCCGGTCGACCTCAACCAGGCCGTCCTTTTGTGTTACCACGACGCTGGATGGGCAAATTGCCCCCAGGACGAGGACGATCCCTACTACGCGTTGACACCCGAGGAGAATGCGGACGGCATCATGGAGAACGGGCCCTACGACTTCCACCTTCGGAAGGCCAAGAGAACGAACTCCTGTATAGCCTCTCAGTTGGGTGGACTCTATCTACTATGTGACAAAGCGGTCCTCTTAGGAGGAAAGCACAAGGTCAGTCTCTTGGACTGGAAGAGCTCGGCTTGTGACCGAGTCTGCAGGTCTACATTCGCTGCTGAGACCATGGGATGTGCCACCGCAATCGAGACGGGGGAGTACATACTCCGCTTTCTACAGACACTCGTTGACGGCAAGTTGGCGAGGACTTCTACCCCCTTGCGCTACGACATCCGGTTTCTGAGTGACTGTAAGAGTTTGTACGATAACCTAACGAAGGATGGCATACCTCGGCCACCCTCCTGTAAGCGGCTTGCAATAGACTTGGCTGCCATCCGTGATGATTTGAAGACTCTGGGACGTCTCGCCTGGGTCCCAACAACGGCCCAAATGGCGGACCATTTGACAAAACCCTTGAGAGCAGGGGACTGGTGGGCCGTCCTTAAAGGAGGGCTCATGTTGACGTTTAGAGAAGGAGATGTTCTTAACCAGTGTCAATCTGTGAAGTGCACCGCTGTCTGATTCTGCCATCTCCTCCGAAGTTTCCCAAAGCAAAGCTGAACAGTTTTATCCCGGAGGCACAAGAGTGGTTCGAAGCGTGGCAAAAGCGGCCGCCGTCTCTGCAGGCAGGACCCCTGCTTCTTCGTTTTAGACTAAACCCTACAGACCCTAAGCCATCCTAGACCCCTAGATAACCCCTAGACACTATATAAACCCTAAGCCATCCTAGACCCCTAAACCCTATAGACCCTAAGCCATCCTAGACCCCTAGATAACCTCTAGACACTATATAAACCCTAAGCCATCCTAGACCCCTAAACCCTATAGACCCTAAGCCATCCTAGACCCCTAGATAACCCCTAGACACTATATAAACCCTAAGCCATCCTAGACCCCTAAACCCTATAG